ATAGAGCCATTGTACTCCCGCCTGGGTGACAGAGCGAGACACCGTCTCCAAAAAAAAAAAAAAATTAGCTGGGCGTGGTGGCACATCCTAGCTACTCAGGAGGCTGAGGCAGGAGAATTGCTTGAACCTGGGAGACGGAGGTTACAGTGAGCCAAGATCACGCCACTGCACTCCAGCCTGGCGGCAGAGTGAGACTCCATCTCAAAAGAAAAAAAAAAAAAGTAGCAACAAATGGAGAGCAAAGGGGATCTGGTAATTCGGTAGTCAGGAAGAGAGCACCCCTCTGGAAATAGGGAACACATTAAAGAATTGTCCCATGTTTCCCAGAACTTCCTTTAGTGGATAAGGCCAGGACCTCAAAATAGGGTATAATTGGCACAGGGTTGCCAGAGCCAGGGATTAAAGCTTTAACAAGTTAGATCTATTCATCTCCACGATACCCGGATTGTGGATTAGCTAAGAGATATCTCAAAATCTTTGCCATGGCTTTCCTAATCCTCAAAAAAATTTTTTTTAAAAATTGAGACATAGTCTCGCTCTGTAGCCCAGGCTGGAGTACAATGGCGTGATGTCAGCTCACTGCAACCTCTGCCTCTTGGGTTCAAGTGATTCTCCTGCCTCAGCCTCCCGAGTAGCTGAGATTACAGGCAAACACCACCATGCCTGGCTAATTTTTTGTACTTTTAATAGAGATGGGGTTTCACCAGGCTGGCCAGGCTGGTCTGGAACTCCTGACCTCATGATCTGCCTGCCTCGGCCTCCCTAAGTGCTGGGATTACAAGCGTGAGCCACTGCACCAGGCTGGCCCACATTATTTCTAAAAGCTAAATTTCCCTCTTCAATCACCTATGCTTAGGGGACAGAGTAGAGGTGGAGACCAGTGGAAAAAAGGGATTAACTCACCGGGTGGTCATGACAATCACCAAGACTTTTTGCTCCCATACCATGAGCCAGAAATCACGATAGGTATTCTCCAAAGGACCTGTAATAAAAATAGAATACAAGAAACATGACTCTGGGAAACACTTTTTTTCCTTTGTAGGCTCTTCTGTTTTACTCCCCAATGGTAACTCCAAACCATAGATGTTAGCTCCTTGCTCATCTTTCCACATCCCTGCTATTCAGTGTGGTCCGTGGACAAATCACACCAGCATCGTATGGGAGAGTGTAAGAAACATGAATCTGCATGTTAACAAGATCCCCAGGTGAGTCATAGGTAGGTTTGGGAAGCACTGCTACATACCCTCTCAGAGCCTTAATCATCAGAACTTCAGCCATCACATCCAGGCCGACAGTGTCAACTGTGTATGAGTCTCTAGCTGTTTTCATCTCACCTAAGCTTCAGTTTTATAATCACAGATTGCTTACTAAACCATTAACCTTCTGTTTCCCATCATCTCAGATCCATTATGTCTGCAACTAAGTCTCCTCCTTCAAAATTAGCTTTATCTTGGCCAGGTGCAGTGGCTCATGCCTATAATTCCAGCCCTCTGGGAGGCCAAGGCAGGCAGGTTGCCTGAGCTCAGCAGTTTGAGATCAGCCTGGCAACATGGTAAAACCCCGTCTCTATGAAAAATACAAAAATTAGCCGAGTGTGCTGGCACATGCCTGTAGTCCCAGGTACTTGGGAGGCTGAAGCACAAGAATTGCTTGACCCCAGGAGGTTGAGGTTGCAGTGAGCCAAGATCGCACCACTGCACTCCAGCCTGGGCAGTAGAATGAGACTCCGTCTCAAAAAAAAGAAAAATTAGCTTTATCTTGCAACTTTCTTATCTCTGTTAACAATACTAGCATTCTTAAATCATTCAGTCTTAAAAAGTGGAAGTCAACACTGACTTACCCATTTCCTTCATCTCTCAGAAGCAGTCACCAAATCCTAGAGATTTTTTACCTTTGAAATGTTTTTGCTTTTTATTCTTTTGTCCCCCATCTTCTCCCCATCCTGCTCTTCCTGCTCAATTTCACTGACACAAAGACCACATCATCTTCTGTCTAAGTTACTGTAACACCCTCTTAGTCTACTTTTCTGAATAGGCCTTTTTCCGTTCCAGTCTACTCTGGGAAACCCCACCAGTTTAATCTTTCTTAACAGTTTCTTCATCAGAACATAGACACACCGTGCTCACCTTGGCCTCTATTCTTTTGCTCAAGCTGTTTCCATTACCTCCAATGCTATTCATTTTCTACCCATTTTCAAGTGCCGCCTCTTCCTTGAAGCTTTCTCTGACCTCCTCATTCCTTGTGAAGCTTCTTCTCTTTTGCTTTTGATGGCATAGCTGGCTAACCATTTAATTTATGTACTCTTCCATCCATTATTTTACTTTGTGGGAATTAATGATATCTCAGTAAACATTATCCTAAGGACAAGGGATTACAGGCATGAGCCACTGCGCCTGGCCAAATTCTCCTTTTTTAGTTAGAACCTGCATAGGGCTGAGCACTCAGCAATAACTTTGAAGATACTTGTGGACTACCAACTCCACTTTGATCAAGACAGTAACCGGCTGGGCGCAGGGCTCACACCTATAATCCCAACACTTTGGGAGGCCAAGGCGGGCAGATCACTTGAGGTCAGGAGTCCGAGACCAGCCTGGCCAACATGGTAAAACCCAATCTCTACTAAAAATACAAAAATTAGCTGGGCATGATGGCGGGTGCCTGTAATCCCAGCTACTTGGGAGCCTGAGTTAGGAGAATTGCTTAAACCCGGGAGGTGGAGGTTGCATTGAGCCTAGATCACACTGTTGAACTCCAACCTGGGTGACAGCAAGACTCCATCTCAAGAAAAAAAAAAAGTAACAACTCAAGATAATTCCTCATACTTTCCGGGTGTTTCTTCCCTCTCTGCTTTCAGGAAAGCAGGGCAGTACTAATGGTTAATTTTGGCCTAGAAGTCTGCTGGTTCTACTACCATTATTGCTAAGTCTTTTAGCAAGCACTAACATGATACTGGAATGCCCTCTCTGCAGAATTGGATGATGTCAAAAGCATGTGAGGTCTTAGAAATACGCTAAATATCCAATAAGAGAGGATTAATTAAATTATGGCATGTCAAGTGTAATCCCAGCCCTTTGGAAGGATGAGGTAGGCAGATCACTTGAGCCCAGGAGTTTGAGACCAACCTGGGCAACATTGTGAAACCCTGTCCCTACAAAAAATACAAAAATTAGCCAGGTGTAGTAGCACATGCCTGTAGTCCCAGCTACTCAGGAGACTGAGGTGAGAGGATCACCTGTGCCTGGAGAGACCGAGGCTACATTGAGTCATGATCGTGAACCATGATCATACCACTCTGTCACCCAGCCTAGGTGACAGAGTGAGACCCTGTCTCAAAAATAAATAAATAAATAATAGCATACCCATAGTTTATACAATCTATAAAGCTGATGTTGTAAGAGCTGTATTTTTTGCTATGGAAAGGTATTCACAGATACCATTAAATGAAATAAGAGATGTGTATAGAAAGAGCATATTTGGTTAAATTAAAAGTTTAGTTTTTTTTTTTTTTGAGACCGAGTATCACTCTGTCACCCAGGCTGGAGTTCAGTGGCGTGATCTTAGCTCACTGCAACCTCTGCCTCCCGGGTTCAAGCGATTCTCCTCCCTCAGTCTCCCAAGCAGCTGGGACTATAGGCGCCCACCACCACAGCCGGCTAATTTTAGTAGGGACTGGATTTCACCGTGTTAGCCAGGCTGGTCTCGAACTCCTGACCTTGAACTCCTGACCTCAGGTGATCCACCTGCCTCGGCCTCCCAAAGTGCGGGAATTACAGGCTTAAGCCACCGTGCCTGGCCTTTTTTTTTTTTAAGACAGAGTCTCACTCTGTTGCCCAGGCTGGAGTGCAGTGGCACAATTTCGGCTCACTGCAACCTCCACCTCCTGGGTTCCAGCGATTCTCGTGCCTCAGCCTCCCAAGTAGCTGGGATTACAGGCGCACACCACCATGCCTGGCTAACTTTTGTATTTTTAGTAGAGACAAAGTTTCACCATGTTGGCCAGGCTGGTCTCAAACTCTTGACCTCAGGTGATTCACCCACCTCGGCCTCCCAAAGTGCTGGGATTACAGGCTTGAGCTGCTGCGCCCAGCCTGGTTAAATATTTTGTATGCCTATATCTGCATGTATGCATAGATAAAGGTCTAGGAGGAGATGCTGTAAAATGTTAACATTATCTCTGGGTCCTAGGGTTATAAGGGATTATTTTTGTTTTCTAAATGTTCCACAATGGACATGCATTACCCTAGTATACACATCAAGAAGACAGTAAGGACACCTTTTCCACATCTCTGACCCTCAGCCTCATCCACATCCTACTCTCCTGCACCACAGCAACTCTCATATACTTCATTTTCCACATTCAGACAACTAGCAGAATTGGAGTACTGAGCAGTCAGAGCACATGGTAACTCAGTTACCAGACTCAGACTGGGCAAACTTCTCACAGGCTCAAGAGAGATACTTAGAAGGGAAAGTTGTACTTCCCAGCTTAGACCCTTTAACAGTAGACTTCTCTCAAGAAATAAAGTCAGCAGTTTATACTGACATAGGTGAAACAATCCACTGACTTGGCTTGTAAAAACTTCTGAATCAAGCAAACATGGGTTCAAACCCTGGTTCTGTCACTTACTAGCTGCATGGTCCAAGGTCATGTCAACTTTTGGGTTTCAGTTTGCTCATCTATAAATTAATAAACTTCCCTTGCAGAGTCTCTATAATAATTAGATAGCATTTATGCATCTGATATATAATAGGTCTTCTCATTAGATTACATCATTAGTAGAAATATAGGCCGGGCACAGTGGCTGATGCCTGTAATCCCAGCACTTTGGGAAGCTGAGGTAGGCAGATCACTTCAGGCCGGGAGTTCAAGACCAGCCTAGGCAACATGGCGAAACCCTGGTTCCACCAAAAATACAAAAATTAGCTGGGCATGGTGGCAGGTGCCTGTAATCCCAGCTACTTGGGAGGCTGAGGCAGGAGAATCATTTGAGCCCTGGAAGTGGAAGGTGCAGTGAGCCGAGATCACATCATTGCACTGCAGCCTGGGCGACAGAGCAAAACTCCATCTCAAAAAATTAATTAATTAAAAATAAAGAAGTTGCAGACATTATGATATTTTATTCCCAAATACTTGAGCATTTACTAGGAAAACAAGGACATCTTCCTATACAAGAATACCATTATCACCTTAAGCATACATTAAACATGGATATAATGTTGGCTAACACAAAGTCTCCAATTGTCTCAATAGTTTGTCTTCAATAGTTTTTTTCTCCCAATTGAGGATCTAATCACAGATCCTCTTATTTTTTTTTCTTTTTGAGACGGAGTTTCGCTCTTGTTGCCCAGGCTGGAGTGCAATGGCGCAATCTTGGCTCACTGCAACTTCCGCCTCCTGGGTTCAAGCGATTCTTCTGCCTCGGCCTCCCAAGTAGCTGGGATTACAGGCATGTGCCACCACGCCCGGCTAATTTTGTATTTTTAGTAGAAATGGGGTTTCTCCATGTTGGTCAGGCTGGTCTCGAACTACCGACCTCAGGCGATCCACCTGCCCTGGCCTCCCAAAGTGCTGGAATTACAGGTGTGAGTCATTGCGCCCAGCCTTATTTATTTATTTATTTATTTTTGAGGCAGGATCTCCCTGTGTCAGCCAGGCTGGAGTACAGTGGCGCAATCTCGGCTCACAGCAACCTCTGCTTCGTGGGCTCAAGTGATACTCCCACCTCAGCCTCCCAAAGTACTGGGGTTACAGGTGTGAGCCACTGTGTCCGGCCATGGTTCTCTTTAGTCTCCCTTTAATCTAGAACAGTTCTCTGCCTTTTTGTTTTTTATGGCATTAACTTTGGAGAGTCTGAGCCAGTTTTCTTATAGTATGTCACACAATCTGGAGTGTTTCCCATAACTAGATTCAGATTTTAAAACTCGCAATACACAATGCAGGTGATATTTATTTCTCAATGTATCATATCAGGAGGTATACATAATGTCCCTTTGTCCTTTACTGGTGATACTAAGTTTGATCACTTGATTAAGGAGGTATCCACCATATCTTGCTCTGCAGTGGTCAAAGGGCCTTATGCCCATTGATGGTTTGTTGTCTTTTTGTGTTATGATTTCCTCCTACCATCTTTGAAAGTGACATGATATTCTTGAGATGGAGAGGCCAGGTCAGAAAGAGTACTAGGATCATAGGAACATTTATAGAAACTCCATCTGAAATCCTCCTAGAGGCCGGGCATGGTGGCTTATGCCTATAATCCCAACACTTTCGGAGGCCGAGGCGGGCAGATCACGAGGTCAGGAATTCGAGACCAGCCTGTCCAACATGGTGAAACCCAGTCTCTACTAAAAATACAACAATTAGCCGGGCGTGGTAGCACACACCTGTAGTCCCAGCTACTCAGGAGGCTGAGGCAGGAGAATCACTTGAACCCGGGAGGTGGAGGTTGCAGTGAGCTGAGGTGATGCCACTGCACTCTAGCCTGGGTGAAAGAGCAAGACTCCGTCTCAAAAGAGAGAGAAAAAAAATGAGAAATCCTCCTAGAGTTCAGTTTTCACTGTCAGACTTACTAGCACATACTATCTATGTCAGAACATTTATTGGAGTGCTCTGTGATGGTATAGGAACCAGCCTAGGCCTATTAGGACAGCAATACTCATTCCTAGATTGGACTCAATCTCTGGGGTGTCCGCTATTCTTGGCCTCTTACTAGAGAGGAAGAGCATGAAGAGCTCACTGGCTGATGAATTCTGATACCCTACACCCTTGCCAATATTAAGAAATAGCCCCAAAACTTGCAGGCCGTAGTGTTATATATTTAAATCTCCAGTTTATCTCCATGTGGTGAGTTTCCAGGCATACCTGGTACAGAAACCCCAGACTTCTTATCTGCTTTTCTCAACCACCACCAATCTTTATAAAAGGCCAGGATCTAGTGGCCAAAACCTCCACTCAAGTTACCATTCGTTTAAAAATTATGCTATCATTTGGCACAAGGAATCATAAGTAGATGGCACAAAATCAACATGGGAGGGACAGACCAGCTTACCTTGTGTGCCAATGTAAGCATTCTTCTGCTTGTAGCCATCCATGAAGCTGGCATTGATGTAATCTGTCTAATGATAAAAAAGGAGACATCACTATAGCTACACAGAATATACCATTTGGGTCATAAAATGATGTACTCAGTAAGTAAAACCCAAGGTGTGAATATTCTCTTCTTGTTGAGCAGAAAATGAGCAGTGAAATGGTCAGCTCAAACCCTCAGTTCAATAAATGGTGCTGGGACAAGTAGATATCTACATGCAGAGAAATCAAGCTGACTCCTTCCTCACACCATACACAAAAACTGCAAAATGGATCAAAGACCAAATGTAAGGGATTAAAACTATTAAAACTCTCAGAATAAAATGTAAGGTAAGAGTAAATCTTTGTGACCTTGGTTTAGGCAAAGTCTTCACAGATATGACAGATATGACACCAAAGGCATAAGTGACAATAGAAAAGAGATAAACTATATTAAAATTAAAAACTTATGCCAGGCATGGTGGCTCACGCCTGTAATCCCAGCAGTTTGGGAGGCCGAGGAGGGTGGATCACGAGGTCAGGAGATCGAGACCATCCTGGCTAACACAGTGAAACCCCATCTCTACTAAAAATACAAAAAAAAAAAAAAAAAAAAAAAGCTGGGCATGGTGGCAGGCACCTGTAGTCCCAGCTACTCAGGAGGCTGAGGCAGGAGAATGGCATGAACCCAGGAGGCAGAGCTTGCAGTGAGCCAAGATGGTGCCACTGCACTCCAGCCTGGGTGACAGAGCAAGACTCCGTCTCAAAAAAAAAAAAAAAAATCTTTCATCATTAGCCATCAGGGAAATGCAAATCCATACCACGATACTAATCACCCACTAGGATGACTACAGATATCAATTATAGATAATATTGCTGGCAAGGATGTGGAAAAACTGAAACCCTCTTACACATGTATACCGTGCTTATACATTGCTAGTGATAATGTAAAATGCTGCAGTTACTTTAGAAAACAGCCTGGTTGTTCCTCAAAAGATTAAAAAGTTACCATATGACCCAGCAATTCCACTCCTTAGCAAAATATTAACATACGTCCATACAAAACCTTATACATAAATATCCATAGCAGCATTATTCATAATAGCCAAAAATGGAAACAACTCAAATGTCCTTCAACTGATAAATGAATAAAGGTGGTATATCCATACAATGGAATATTATTTGGCAGTAAAAAGGAGTGATGTGATAATACATGCTATGACATGGGTGGACCTAGAAAACATTACGCTAAGTAATAGAGGCCAGACACAATAAGTTACATAGTCTAGGATTCTCTTTGTATGAGATCCCTAGAACAGGCAAATCTATGGAGATAGGAAATAAATTAGGGTGGGTTAGAGGGAAATAGGTAGTAACTGCCAAGGGTGTGAGGTTTCTTTGGGAAATGAAAAACATGTTCTAAAGTTGATTGTGGTGATGGTTGCACAACTCTGTGAATATACTAACAGCCATTGACTTATATACTTTATTTTTATTATTATTTTTTTTTGAGATGGAGTCTCACTCTGTCGCCCAGGCTGTAGTGCAGTGGCGCAATCTCAGCTCATTGCAAGCTCCGCCTCCCGGGTTTATGCCATTCTCCTGCCTCAGCCACTCGAGTAGCTGAGACTACAGGTGCCCACTACCATGCCTAGCTAATTTTTTGTATTTTTAGTAGAGACGGGGTTTCACCGTGGTCTTGATCTCCTGACCTCGTGATCTGCCTGCCTCGGCCTCCCAAAGTGCTGGGATTACAGGCGTGAGCCACTGCGCCCGGCGACTTACATACTTTAAATAGGTAAATTGTATGGTATGTGAACTGTTGGAGGCCGAAAGAATGAGGGTCATGATCAACTCAGTATACCACTGGAGGCTATATGAGCAAAAAGCAAACTTCTCATGAAAGCAGGATGTTAGCAAACTGACAAACTGCGTCTGCCACCCAGAAGGAATGCCGAGGGCAGTCACGACCAAGGCATAAGTGTTGCTTGTGATTAGGCACATCTGAAGCCTGTCAACAATAATATGAACCTGTGATCAATTAAGCAGCTGACCAATAGTTACCTCCTCCTCCCTGCTCTTGCTACCCAATAAATACAAAGGGCTGTAGAAGCTCAGGGCTGCCTTTGCTCAGTAGAAGTAGGGAGCTGTCTTCTTCTTCCCCATGTTACCCTTCCTTTAGAATAGTTATTTTTGTCTTAAGTTTTCATTTCTATGTTTGTCCCCCTTCCTTCAGTCTCCTAATGACAGTCTCAAGTATTAACAGTAGTAACTGCCCCAGTGACATCTCAAGTAGTAACAGTGGCAGTATGCCAGAGTGAACTATAACTCAACAGAAACTGTTATTTACAAGAAAAGGGTCCATCAGGACTTGCAACACTGTAGCACAGGACCAAATGAGCAAGGCAAGCAAGTAGGAATATCTGGTCCGTCCTGCCATACACAAAAGGCAAAATGTGAATGGAGAAGAAATAAAGCTACACCTCATACTTAGGACCATTAACAGGACAGGCCATACACCTGAACTCCATTACTACCTGAATTAATGCAAAGCAACTTCCAGTCAAATTCAAAGGCATCTCAATGAATAGCTCCTGATTCCCTCTCTTCCAGGGTATTCTCCCACCTTCTAATGTCCTCAGTCTTAATTACTTCAACATCATTTTTTATTAATACCTACTCAAAAGATCCTTTGATCCAGGCTGATAAAAGAGAAACATCGATCAGCTGCAGTTTCATGTTATAGTATAACTAGTTGAGAGTTGAATGGATAGAGGCAGTGGAATGGATAAGGGAAGGTGTGAAGGGTTACAGAGGACAAAAGAAAAGTTTCAATAGCAAACTAGGGAAAACTCATAACCCACTGCACTACAGAGAGGTCAGACTGACTTTACTCAACCTATCACTCTTTCTCCTGTGGGTCCTATCACTGGGAGGGCAGTCTGAACTGTCAGTATTCCATAGCTAACCTCCTAAGATATCTCTACCTCATGGTCAAACCCGTGTTACTTGGATTTGTGTTCCTTAGCCAGTCAGTCTACCAGTTTATCACTCTACTACTTATTTAGTCAAGACTTTCCTCCTTAGAAACTATTTCTTTGACTAAATAGTGGAGTGATAAACTCACAGTTTTCCCTCCCATAGCAGCTAGTATTGGCCTCATACGATTACTGTCCTACCCTAACTCAGACAACTTCACTGAGCTAACAGACCACTTGCAGCAGACTCAGCATGCTAAAAGCCTCACTCACTTCCAAACAGGCTTCTCAATCCAGGGTGCAGTTAGCCTAAGCCTATCCTCTACTCAACCTGGCACATACAAATGGTATAACCTCTTGAGGACCAAGGGAGAAGGTATGGAAAAGTACAAAAGATTTACCTGGTATATGCCAGTCAACATTAGTAAGAACATAAGGAGGAACTAACTTCATGCTTCGAAAAGAATTGTCACTTCTTTACATTATTGCTTTATAACTAAGAACTATCAGCTTTAGCACTGGTCTCTGAGACTGCTGATTTTTAATTCCCAGGGAATTAAAATTTTTAATTTCAGCAACTTTGGAAGAATCATTGGATATTAAAACTGAAGGCTGGGCACAGTGGCTCACGCCTGTAATCCCAACACTTTGGGAGGCCGAGATGGGCGGATCACGAGGTCAGAAGATCGGGACCATCCTGGCTAACACAGTGAAACCCCGTCTCTACTAAAAATACAAAACAAAACAAAACAAAACAATTAGCCGGGCGTGGTGGTGGGCGCCTGTAGTTCCAGCTACTCAGGAGGCTGAGGCAGGAAGATGGTGTGAACCCAGGAGGCGGAGCTTGCAGTGAGCTGAGATCGCGCCACTGCACTCCAGCCAGGGCGACAGAGCGAGACTCCATCTCAAAATTGAAAATGACCCAGAGACAAAGTATATACTTGGGGGCAAATTGAAATAGCAGGAAGAACAAACCCGGCACACTATGTTATGGGCCATTGCTATAGACTGAACATTTGTGTCCCCCATAACTTTAAATGTATACATCCCAACCCCAAACCCTTAATGTAATGGTATTAGGAGATGGGGCCTTGAGACAGGTGATTGAGTGATGAGGACCATGAGGACAGAACTCTCACAAATGGGATTAGTACCCTTGTAAAACAGAAGAGTTCTGAAGTGCTCCCTCACCCCTTTCCCTTCTGCCATGTGAGGATGCAATGAGTAGACGGTGGTCTATGAACCAAGAAAGGGGCCCTCACCAGACCCCAAATCTGCCAGCACATTGATCTAGGACTTCCCAGACTCTACAATAGTGTGAAATAAATTTCTGTTGTTTATAAGCCATCCTGCCTGTGGTATTTTTCTTGCAGCAGCCCAAACAGATTAAGGTAGCCGTGTTCAACAGAGACTGGGACTAATAGCTTTAAAATTCCAGAAGCAAATCAAGTGAACAAGTCACTAAAAAGCCTGAATCCTCCAATTAACAAGGTATTGTATACTTGAAAATTGTGGACAGCAGATTTTAAGTGTTTTCACCACAAAACAAGGTAAATATGTGAAGTAATGCATATGTTAACTAGCTTGACTTAGCCTCTCTGCAATGCACAATATTTTAAAATATTACACTGTATACCATAAATATATAAAATTTTATCAATTAAAATTTAAAAACAACTAAATATCAGGAAACAATGGAAAAATAGCCCCATAGGTGGAAATTTCATGACAGTGTTAAGTCCCCAAAGCTAAGTAAATAATTTTTTTTTTTGCTTTCCTAACCCCCCAAAGTGAATAATGTCAAAAAAACACTAAAATCAAAATAAAACAAACAAAAGCCTAAATACTCCATTTGCTATAAAAATAAAGCCTCCACTAATGTTTCAGTAAGGAGAGGGACTACAAATCAGACAATGATCTTCATATTAACCACAGGATGACTAGAAGAGTCTCCCGGTACACTAAGATTCACTGATTCACAAATATGTCCTGAGTGTCTAATACGTATCAGGCACTGTTCTAGGTACTGGAGACAGGGAAATCAACAAAATGGATAAATACAGATATCTCTGACTCCAAAGCCCCAACTCAACCGCTGTACTCTACTCCTTCAGGGCATATATGATGATGATCTCAGCAGTACTTATGAATTTACCCTCCAGCCAGCCAGTCTCTTAGCTCAAATGCTCCTGCAGGAAAATCTTCTCCAAGGGTCCTGGATAAGGCTGTGAATTCAGTTTATGTGCTTGAAACAACAGGGACAAGAGAGTTGGAAACCATGATCCTGGGGTCCCAACCCACATATCATATATGCCCAAATACAAGGCAATAATTTTTCCAAAAATTATTCCCCAGAAAGAGAAGGGATATAACAAGTCCTTACAGTGTGTATCATGTTAAAGAGGTACTATTTAAATTACTTTACTTTGCTGGCGCAGTGGCTCATGCCTGTAATCCCAGTACTTTGGGAAGTCAAGGCAGGCAGATCACCTCAGGTCAGGCGTTCGAGACCAAATGATGAAACCCGTATCTACTAAAAATACAAAAATTAGCTGTGTGTGGTGGCATGCACCTGTAATCCCAGCTACTCAGGAGGTTGAGACAGGAGAATCGCTTGAACCCGGGAGGTGGAGGTTGCAGTGAGCTGAGATCACGCCATTGCACTCCAGCCTGGGCAACAAGAGCGAAACTCTGTCTCAAAAAAAATAAATAAATAAAAATAAAATAACTTTACTTTGAACAACACCTCAGTCAATGCTGTTTTTTTTTTTTTTTTTTTTATGAGATCACCTAACAAAATTGGGTTTTTTAGAGACATCACCTAATAAAATTGGTATATCAGAAGGGAAAAAAAGGAAGATAATAATTTAGTCATTCATCTCAAAATTCTAAGGTTGGATGTTGCTATAAACAAGTTATATTAAAAAGGAATTTATGGCCAGGCACACTGTCTCATGCCTGTAATCCCAGCACTTTGGGAGGCCAAGGTGAGAGGATTGCTTGAGCCCAGGAGGAACCTGGGCAACAGAGTGAGACCCTAGCTCTACAAAAATTTAAAAAAAAAAATCAGGCATGTGTAATGGCATGTGCCTGTAGTCTCAGCTACTTAGGAGGCAGAGGTGGGAGGATCGCTTGAGCCCGGAAGTTCAAGGGTGCAGTGAGCTATGATCAAGTCACTGCACTCCAGTCTGGGTAACAGAGTAAGACCCTGTCTCTCTATTTTTTTTTTAAGGATTTTACAAAGGAATAAGTGAATGAATCACATTATAGGGGATGCATAAGACGCAGGATGAATTAAAAAACCAACTTGTCCTAATGTTACCCTAACAGATTTTCCTGTTTTAGGATAAAATTTCAGTCACAATGCCACACACTTAAAAATAAATAAAGACACTGTACTCTGGAAAACCTTGTTAGACTGACTCAAAAAGTGGCCTGTAATTCCAGCACTTAGGGAGGCTGACGCAAGAGGATTGTTTGAGCACAAGAGTTCAAGACCAGACTGGGCAACATAGTGAGAACTTGTCTCTACAAAAATATTTTAAAATTAGCCAGGTATGTGGCACATGCCTGTGGTCTCAGCTACTTGGGAGGCTGAGGTACAAGAATCACTTGAGCCCAGGAGGTCAAGGTTGCAGTGAGCTGTGATCACTGTACTCTAGCCTGGGCAATAAAGCAAGACTCTGTCTTGAGGGAGAAAAAAAAGTGGCTCAAATGTGACAAAGACACTAAAGACACCTTTAACTTTAGTTAAAGGTGTATGTAAAGTGTTTGAATAAAATGTTTGTTAAATATCTCGTAATAGATTACATATGAGGTTTTTAACATGTAGATATAATCAAATTAATATATTAAATAAATAGTCATTTGACCATTTCATCTCTATCCCTAGACATTTATGTATACATAAGTTGTCCACAGTTTCCTCAGATACAGATGGAGAAATCAGAGGTCACTTAAAATCAAGGTTGCTTTGTATTGGTGCATATATACTCACCAAAGGAATTGGACTATATGACCATGACTTTACAACTAAGGAGTAAAGGATAAATAATTTAACACCTATGAAGCACCTACAATATATCACACCTTGCACTATCAGCATTCACATAAAGAATTTCATTTAATTTCCACTCAATACTGTGAGATGGGCATTCAAGGACTTGCCTATGGTCACAGACTAGTATGTAGCAAAATATAAACTCAAACCTAATCTCTCTGGCCTCGGAGTCTACTTTCATTCTACTAAAGTATTAGTAAGCTTAACTCTGGAAGAAGCTCAATTTCCCCCAGTGCACGTAAAAAGATTACATTTATCTGTCTACCTGAGTATGGCCACTTCGCTTTGTTAGCTTCACTCTAGTTTGGTCCAGGCAGGGTACATCCCCATAACGGTTTTTCTCTAGGTTTCCCGGAGACCTGAAGGAAATGAAACAAACAAGCAAGAATAAAGAAAAAGTAGGGACAGTATGTATGTACAAAGTCTGACTATGCAAAAGGGGTGTCAATTACTCTTAGGGGTGGAGACATGGAAGCTTTTCAATCTCTAGCCCATACAGTTCCATATCATTTAACATTTTTTGTGGTAAGTACATACTACTTCTAAAAGTAAACATATCTCCATTCAAAAGAGAGAGGGAAACCAGGCATGGTGGCTCACACCTGTAGTCCCAGCACTTTGGGAGGCAAGAGGATTGCTTGAGGCCAGGAGTTTGTGACCCCTCTGGGAAATGTAATGAGAGCTTATCTCTCTCTCTTTTTTTTCTTTTTTTTTTTGAGGCGGAGTCTCGCTCTGTTGCCCAGGCTGGAGTGCAGTGGCGCGATCTCGGCTCACTGCAAGCTCCACCTCCCGGGTTCACACCATTCTCCTGCCTCAGCCTCCCGAGTAGCTGGGACTACAGGCGCCCGCCACCACACCTGGTTAATTTTTTGTATTTTTAGTGGAGACGGGGTTTCACCATGTTAGCCAGGATGGTCTCAATCTCCTTACCTCGTGATCCACCCGTCTCGGCCTCCCAAAGTGTTGGGATTACAGGCATGAGCCACCACACCTGGACTAATGAGAACTTATCTCTAGAGAGAAGTCAAAAAATTAGCCAGGCATCATGGCACACACCTGTACTCTTAGCTATTCAGGAGTCTAAGGTGGAAGGACTGCTTCAGCCCAGGAAGTCAAGGCTGCAGTGAGCTATGACGGTGCCACTGCACACCAACCTGGGTGACGGAGAGACACCTTGACTTAAGAAAAAAAAAAGAGAGAGAAGCTGGGCGTGGTGGCTTATGCCTGTAATCCCAGCACTTTGGGACGCCAAGGCGGGTGGATCACCTGAGGTCAGGAGTTCAAGACCAGACTGGCCAAGATGATGAAACCCCGCCTCTACTACAAATACAAAAATTAGCCAAGTGTGATGGCACACACCTGTAATCCCAGCTATTCAGGAGGCTGAGGCAGGAAAATCACTTGAACCTGGGAGGTGGAGGGCGCAGTGTGCCAAAATCACACCACTGCACTCCAGTCTGGGTGACAAAGCAAGGCTCTATCTCAAAAAATAAAAATAAATTAATTAATTAAATTTAAAAAGAGAGAGAAAGAGTGGGGATGGGAGTCCCCACTCTTTCTCTCTTTCTGCCAAACGGCCAAGGCAGAAATTGGTACTAAGAAGTGAAGTAGGGTGCTGCTGTAACAAATAACTAAAAATGTGGAAGCAGCTTTGGAACTGGTTAATGGACAGAGCTGATAGAATTTGGAAGTACATGCAGAAAAAGCCTATGTTGCCATAAACAGGCATAAAAGTCTATTCTAGTAAGGGATCAGAAAAAGGAGAGCTGTAGAGAAAGCCTCAATCTTCTTAGAGATTACCTAAGTGATACTGATCAGAAAACTGGTAGAAATATGGGTGGTAAAATCCATTTTGATGAGGTCTCAGACAGAGATGAGGAGCACATTAGTAAAAAAGAGAGAGGGAGAGAAGGGGAGAGTAATGGGGCACACCACCAAAAAAACTCTAGCTGCAGATAAAAATTTCTACTATTTATTTGTCAAAAGATTTTCAAACCAAATCTCCTAAATTCCAATTTCATTTTCTTTTTGAGACATCTCAAAGGTTTCCAGGGTTGCCCAGGCTGGAGTCCAGTGGCACAATCACAGCTCACTGCAGCCTTAATCTCTCTGGGCTCAAGTGATCCTGAGCCCAGGAGTAGCTAGGACTACAGATGAACACCACCACGCCCAGCTAATTTTTAAATTTTTTGTAGAGAAAGGGTTTTGCCACATTGCCCAGGCTGGTCTCACACTCCTGGACTCAAGCAATCCTCCCGCCTCAGCCTCCCAAAGTGCTGGGATTATAGGTGTGAGTCACCAAGCCTGACCTTAAATGCCAGTCTAACACATATTGACTCCACTCCATTCACCCACTAGCTTCACTAAAATGATGATAAAGGAATACTCACTACAAACCCAAAAAGTGACAGTGGAGACATCAGCACACAAAGAGTGTTCAACCCATTTTGACAGAGAAAAATCAGGAGGATTTTGGCTGACATGGCCAAACATAGAAGCTAGGACCAAGGGAGGTACCTATAGAGAGACAAGATGGCACACCCTCAGAACTCCCTTACCATGGAAAGCAAGGTGAGGAACAGAGCTAAAAATGGGAATAAAATGAAAATCTGAATGTTATACAGTGAAAATCCCTGACCCATTTTCACTGTCCTGTCCTACACTCATATTCAAGCTCGGATCCCATCAGTGGATCCAAAGGATGGGAGAACTCTTCTCTGGATAAAGTAAACAGCATCAGGTTAAAGAATTCTGTCATTTGGAGTATACCCAACAACAAGCTAGTTGTCTGATCATTATAATCTGAAGCTCATCCATGCAAAACGAGCTTCCATGCAGCTTGTTTTTGTTTTTGTTCATCACTATCTGCTTTCGCAACCATGCAGCTTTTAAGGACCATAAATGTGAACTAAAAGCCAAGGATCTCAATGTAATTAAGGAAAGCCCCTAACACAAATACTTTAATACACAATTCAAATAACACAATTCAGGCTGGTCATGGCGGCTGATGCCTGTAATCCTAACTCTTTGGGAGAGCCAAGGTGGAGGATCACTTGAGCTCAGGAGTTCAAGACCAGCCTGGGCAACATAGCAAGACCTTGTCTCTACTGAAAATTTAAAAAATCAGCTGGGCATGGTGGTACATACCCGTAGTCCCTGCTATTTAGGAAGCTGAGGTAGGAGGATCACCTAAGCTTGGGGGACAGAAGCTGTAGTGAGCTATGATTGCATCACTGCACTCCAGCCTGGGTGACAAAGTGAGACCCTGTCTCAAAATCAAACAAAAAACAAACAAATGGAAAAACTCATAATTCAAACACATGGGGGCTACAGAAGTTTTTAAAAAAAGAGTCAGTAAGAGAAAACCTCTAAAAGGCTATCATTAATATCCTCAAAGAGAAAAGAGATGATACAATTATACATAAAATAAGAAGAGTACAGTGAAAAAGGAACAGAGAAGAAAAGCTCTTGGAAATTAAAAATAATATCAAAAATAAGAATTTTAATAGATGAGATAAAAGAGAAAGTTGAGGAAATTTCCAGAATACAAAACAAAATGAAAAAAGTGATGAAAATATGAGAAAAACTGGCCAGGCACAGTGGCTCATGCCTGTTATCCCAGCACTTTGGGAGGATGGGGCGGGCGGATTACTTGAGGTCAGGAGTTCAAGACCAGCCTGGCCAACATGTTGAAACCTGTCTCTACTAAAAATATAAAAATTAGCAGGGCGTGGTGGTGTGCGCTTTGTAGTCCCAGCTACTCAGGAGGCTGAGGCATGAGAATCGCTTTAACGTGGGAAGTGGAGGTTGCAGTGAGTTGAAATTGCACCACTGTACTCCAGCCTAGGCGTCAGAGCGAGACTGTCTCATTTAATTAAAAAAAAAAAAAGAAAAAAATGAAGAAAGTTAAGAGAATCATTCTGAGACACAAGTCAGTAAACTATGCCCTGGCCACTTGTTTTTGTAAATGAAGTTTTACTGAAACATAGTCAAGCCCATTTATTTCTGTACTCACTAAGTGTATATTGACAGTGTTGAGTCAGTAAACTATGCCCTGGTTACTTGTTTTTGTAAATAAAGTTTTATTGGAACACAGTCAAGCTCATTTATTTCTGTACTCACTAAGTATATTTTGGCAGTGTTGAGTACTTGTAACAAAGACTGTAAGCCCCACAATACTGAAATATTTACTATCTTGTCTTTTAAGGAAAAGTTTGTCAATTCTTACTCTAGAAGATCCAACCAGACTGATAGGAATATATATATATTTACATATATATAGAGAGAGAACTAACATAATGCAAGGAAAGAAATCATTTAAAAAACAATGTAACAAGAAAAACCCTGTAACTAAATAACAAGCCTTCAGATTAAAAAAATCTATCAAGTAACCATTGTAATAAATTTTAAAAGAGGACCTACACTAAGGCACATCATTGTTAATTTTTTGGGGGGCGGGGCGGGGACAGAGTCTCGCTCTGTCCCCCAGGCTGGAGTGCAGTGGCTCAATCTCGGCTCACGGCAACCTCCGCCTCCCAGGTTCAAGGGATTCTGCCTTAGCCTCCGGAGTAGCTGGGATTACAGAAGCCTCCCCACACCTGGCTGATTTTTATATTTTTAGTAGAGACAGGGTTTCGCCATGTTGGCCAGGCTGGTCTCGAACTCCTGACCTTGGGTGATCTGCCCTCCTCGGCCTCCCAAAGTGCTGGGGTTACAGGCGTGAGCCACCATGCCCAGCCTCTCTCAATCCTTTTAAATGATCTATTGTTTTTCTTTTTTCTTCCCTGAGCATTTTAAAGATAATTTCTTTTTCTGTTTAAGAAATTTAGACTGGGTGCAGTGGGTCACTCCTGCAATCCGAGCACTTTGAGAGGCCAAGAAGGGCAGATCTCCTGAAGTCAGGAGTTTGAGACCAGCCTGGCCAACATGGTGAAACTCCGTTTCTACCAAAAATACAAAAATTAGGTGGGCATGATGGCACACACCTGTAGTCCCAGCAACTCAGGAGGCTGAGGTAGGAGAATCACTTGAACCCAGAAGGTGGAGGTTGCAGTGAGCCGAGATTGTGCCACTGCACTCCAGCCTGGGCGACAGAGTGAGACTCCATCACAAACAAACAAACAAATAAATAGATTGAGAAAGAATAAGATCAGACAATTCACAGACAGCATAACTAGTAATTGGAAAGGCATTGCCTTAAAAATTCTGAGATAAAGTTATTTCCAACGTAGAGTTTTATACTCTAGCAAAATAGAATAAAAGTAAAGAAAGAAGATGGTCTACAATTAGGAAACAAGATCCAACAAAGGAAAGAGGGAAAATTACAAGATAAAAAGTGAGGAACAAGCCTACAGAATAA